TGTTGTTTTTGGATCTTGATTGGAATAAGGTTTTTGGGTTTTGTTCTAGGTTAGGGTTCATGTGAAGAACCCTAGGGTTAGGGTTCATACACGTTGAAGATTAATGGGTTAGGACATGTTAGGGTTCTTCACAAACCCTTAGGGTCCTTAGGATTCATATGAACCCAAGCGATGGTTGGGTTTGAAGATGTTGCCGCCTTGGCGCAGTTGCCGGTGGAAGCGATTTCTGACCGGTGGCGCCCAAGACTGAGGCGATTTTCGGTGACAGAAATCTAGAGAAAAAGTTGGAGCTTCTCTCTCTAAACCTCCAACGAATGTTCTTTTGTTTGTTTTGGTGAAGAGAGAGAGAGAAAGAAGAGAAAAGTGGGCCTTAACCCCAGAAACTTGTTTTTATAAACACCCTTTGTTCCCATGGCTACTCCTATCGTGCACCCTCTCTCCCAAACCCTTTGATCGTCATTAGATGTTCTTAAAGCGCTCATCTATCATAACCCTCAGCACTCTCCCACACTTTGTCCAACATGTCAACATTTGTTTTGGGCCAAGCCCGTTCCAATCACACCCCCTGTATTACTTCATCAACTATAACTCTCACCTCCTGCGCTATTGGACTAAGTCCAACATCTGGACTTGGGCCCCTTACTTAGCAAACCCCCCAATTTTGCTACCGCATTCAAGTTGAACCCCCACGTAACTGGGCTAAATCCAATATCTGGATTTAGAGCCATGTTATCTACCCCCCCAGTCTTTTACTAACAAACTGGAAATACACCCCTGTGTAAATTAATTAAAAATAAGTTATGAATTTTTGAAGTTCAGCCTTATGATTTTCTACGCTTAGAAAAATTTTCAATTTCACCAAGATACCTTCATGAACAAGTTAACTTCAAAATCAATCTTTCTCTTGAATTTCTTCAATCATAGGCCATATGTTGTTGAAATATGATCATTGACTTCAACTTTAACCAAAAGTCCACTTGGTCAACAATTGACTTTTGTTGACTTTTGCTCAAATGACCAAATAATCAAAATTAAACAATTGAACTTCAAACAATGCAAACCAAGGGTCCATAATCCATATGAGAATTTCTTAAGACATATACAAGTCATTAAGAACCAAGTTGCTCAAGAAAAATGTTAGGAAATGCCTTTGTCAAAAAGTTCTTTTCAGTCAAATAGGTCAAAATTTCACCAATCATCCAATGCAACGCTTTGAGTAATCTTGTGATGAATTCAATAGTCATACTTGATACCTTGAGCTATCAAATGATCACAGAAACAAAGTCTTGATGAAAATGAAGCTCACAGCTTGAAAGGGGCCAAAACCCTAATTTCTGATTGAATAGCTTAGGATTTGGTGACTGAAGATCAAACCCTAATTTCTCAGAGATTCTTGAGAAATCCAAGGAGCCGGTGAACTTGAATCAATAAGAAGCTCATGAACATGAGGTTCCACACAACTTGCTTTGAGAAACTTAATCTCTTGCTTGATAGATAATCTTGAGCCAGGAAAAACCCTAAGAACCTTGATCCTATGAGTGTAGCAATGAATATGACCTAATGGAAAGTATGCCAAAGCAATGTAATAAACCAGATGAAAAGATATAAGGGTAGGACAAATTTGGGATATTATAATTGCATTCTCTTCGCTTTCTAGAGGAGCCCGATCATGAAGCTATCGCTAACGCTCTTTATTTGAGTCTGAGCAATGTGAAAGGTCATTGGAGGAAGAGAGGCGTGACTAGTGGTCTTTCTAGGGATTTCTTGATAAGAAAAGCCGAAGATCATTACATTACAGGGAATTGCATATGCTTTTGTAAGGTAATGGAATTATTGAAATGAAATTATATGAAAGGTGCATATTAGAACTAAGCATACATGTTGATCTGAAATACCTTGATGACCCTAACTAATTAGTAAGGTGCAATATTCTAAAACAGTTAAATTGTATACTAATTGAAATTTTAAAAATTGAGGGAATATAAAAATGTATGACAATATTACTACAAATAAAGTGCAGTATTACAATCAATAGGGAAGTTTTGGAGAAAAATAGCCACAACACAATAGTACAAATACATATTATTACAATATAGCAGTTACACCAATAATTCCAAACGCATTGTCATGGCTTCAAGATGTATAACACGTATTTGGCCTGAGAAGTTTTAACAACACTGTCACAAAAAATGGAGTTAGTTAACAAAACTAGTGGTTTAAACGAAAATGCAGACAAATGAGTGCTGAAGCGGTAAAGCGGCAAGAAAAAAGTAAAGTATTAATTTTACTGGGTGATATAAGTTATATTGTATCGTGTCCATATATATTGGTATCGATTATCTGTTTGACAAATTCGTTAATGAGTTTGGGGGAAATGGGTTGTTTGTTAAGAAAGGGTAAAAACTATTGACAAGAAAATAAATAATGCATAAACCTTATTTATACAACCAACTGTTATGACGCCTTTCCTATTAAACCATGTCATGAATAATTCATAAACTTACCAAGTTATGTATTTTTGCAACCGATCAAAATTTTTATGTGAACATGTCAGGCAAATCTTAGCTGTAACACTTAACGGGCAACACTTAAGCTATGAATTTTTACAACACCAATGCAATTCAAATCTCACTTTAAACCCAATTCACATGGCTCTGATACACTCACTTTGCACCCAACTCACATTATTTTGTACTTCATTTAAGATTAAAACCATTTGCCAGTTATGTACCTACACATCTCTTTGTCAACACCTATTTAAAATTGAATTGAATACAACATTAACCTTTCTGCATTTTCAAAAAACCTTATGCCCCCATTTTATCGCTTCATATTTTCAATTATTTTCTACAACTTATTACAACATTTGGTTCATATTAAATCCATTGATTTGTAACTTAACAATTTGTTTCCATTTATACTTTGCAACACATTTCACAATATCCTTTAATGATTCACAGAACAAAAAAGTAAAGTTAAATACTGATTGCATTAGCATACTAAGAAAACTATTACAACATTAGTTTATACTATTAACTAAGACTACAACCATCATTCTAACATCCAACATTCAAAATACACTACATCACCCAATCTTTAAAATACAGTACATTTGCATAACGCATTAACTAATATACATAATATCGCACATCCATAAATTATGATCCTACAAACACAATGCAACCATTCTAAACTAATCAAAACATCCAAAACACTTATTAACCAGTCTACCAACACGTCATTCTTCTTCACTTTAGCTTCATGGTCACAACTAATTTAACGATTCAAAAATTCCACAAACAACCTTTTAGGAGGATAACGAATTGTGAAGCTAAGTAAATCTCCTCTTCTTATATTATTCTTTTTGGCATATTCATACAATCCTTTTCCAATAAATTCTCATTCTTAAATAACTTTATGTTGCGCTTCGTAGAGTGCACTTCTGCATAATAGGAATCCCCATTATCCTCATTTATTAACTCGATGGCTTTTTTATTCCTAAAAATCATTTTCTTTGTGACATCCCTAAGAAAATGTTGCACCAAATAACCAAGACTTTAGCTATCAGAATATTATAAAGCTGCATATTTGTAGAAGGTCTTCTATGTTACTATATATCCATACCTGAATGTTTTTTCGAGCATTGTATTTGTTGGTGATCTTTCTCTCCCAAGTATACACCCGAGGGTAGGCTTCAGTGTCATTGTCATCACTATCAGACTCACTGCTATAAACATCTAGCATTGGATCCCTGAATGTCTCTAAAACACGCGCTTGAATGAGAGTAACCTGTTCATGCTCACCAGGAAACAATTCCTCCGAACTGCATGGATTAGAAAACAACAAACACTTTCACATTTATAACAACTAATATTAAAAAATGATTAATATTTACCAGATTTTTAAAACAGATACCTACATTAACAACAATGACCTAACAATCATACTATATGCGACTACAACTACATTTTTCTTACACTTGCAAAAAAGAGTTCCCTGAGAGCTCTTTAACATCCATAAATATTAACATGCAACAACTTATGTCATCAAACCAAATTACTTTACCTGCTGCTATCTGAGTTGCTATATGATGAAAGTATTATAGCAAATATGTTGCTTTGAACTTTCTCCTTGCCTTTTCCTGCTTGAAATACTAAGCTTAACATCATACCAAGAAAATTACTATGCACACGAACGTTAATCGGATTACCTGGCCACACCCTTTGGCTTTTTGTCTTCTACCATTCTTGAAACGCGCTTTTGTATAGAAGTACAATAACCCCAACTTACTTTATCGATTGAGTTTATGGTTATATATGTTAACCTATTGTGTATTTGGATGCACTCATCGGTCTCCAAAATAAAACCCATCTTTTGGCCCATTAGACTTTCCTCTCTTGGCCATTTGTATTCCATATAATGAAATGTTGTATATTTATTTGGGTACCCTATTTATTTTCGTACAACTCGGTTTTGTTTTTAAGTTCACATGCAACTTAAAGTAGTTGTGGGCCATGAATTGTATTTTGCACTCAATCAGCCCATAGGTTGTTCAATCAACTAAACTATACCTCTGGAAGTGGAATATATTCTACACAACATTTTGGACACTATTCACACGTGAAAGTAATTTTTTTCTCATTCTTGGTATCCTATGCTCATTAATATATATACATACTTCATATATTATTTATTCTCATCACTACCAAAAATCACCTACACTAACACCGTTCTAATTGAGAATAGCTTTGTCTTCTATCAAGCACTCTCACCATTTCAATATGTCTTTGACTGGCATTCTTATTCACAGTGAATTAGATTACTCTTTCTCAATTGCTAAGTTGTCTACACAAGTTATTTTTTCATCTATTCATCCAATTTTTTTTAGATTTTTTATTCATAATTAGTTTTGATTTTGATACTACATCTTTGAAATGACAGATGTTTCCTGAGATTGACTCTGATTTCCTAAATCTATATGAAAACGAATTAACTAAAACATGGACGATCTTGAACAACCAAGGTCTCCATCATTTCCTAATATATATAACAAATATCAGGATCATCCACTTATAATTAGTGGATGGAAAGATGTTGAGGCACTCTACGATTTACCTGCTAATGTTGTTGTTCAAGTCGGCTATTATGGTAACGTAAATTTTGGAATCACCAAATTTAAATGTTTGTTCGACTTGGATGGATTACCCCGTTTCCATAGCAGATTTTTTGGAAGCAAAGGCATTATCGTCTCCGATCTAGGTCTAACTGTTGGTACTGTCACAAGAGTAAAATTAGTTGTGTTTCTTTATACTTTACCTCTTTCATTTCACATAATCTTTTACTACACAACAGTAGTAATTTCAAATTTTTTTTTTATAGAAATTGGAAGAGGACTTTGCAAACATTTTAAAGGATTACAACTATCAGTGTCTGAACTTGTCTTGTGATAACGGAAAAAAAATAATACTCACTTTGTTTAACATTCAAAATCCATACCGAGCTAAGTTAGACCCCGACTGGGATGAATTTTGTCAGTCGAATATGTTTAAAGCTGGTGACACTATTCGATTTAGATTTGATATAACATCTCCACATCAGAAATGTCATCTATATAAAATCTGTTAATTGTAATTTATTGATGTATTATTGTTTACATCAATGATCTTTAATCTATCTTTGTAACCCATAAACAACTCTAATTTCAGTTGTTGAACAATGTCTTTGAATATTTACAATTGTCTTACTTACATGTGCTTTAAAATGTATTAACCTTTTTATTTTACTTATTTGCGATTAACTGATCACAAGTCTTTTTTATTTTAACTACTTCTCACTAGTTATAATTAAGTGTCTATACATATAAATTAAATTCTATTATTTATAAATAATCAATGAAAAAAAAAAAGAAATACGCTGACAATGTAAATTATTTTTATATTATCTATTAATAAGAGATATGTATTATATACTTATTTAACAATTTTTTCAAAAATATTTATTTAATAAAAGGTAAACGAGATTCACATGGTAAAGAAAATAACTTAAATTTAAAAGTGAAATGTATCCTGTAAATCACCTCACAAGTTATTTTAATAACAACCTGGAAGTGACGGTAAGCAAAGCAAACACAGAAAACAAAACCCAATAACAAATAACAAATCAAAAACAAACAAAAAGATTTAGAAACAAGAAAGAATTTCGCTTTCACTTCACAACGCTCTCTTCGATTTCCACTTCCCAGGTTAGTTACTTCCTTTCTCTTCTCTCAATTTCTTCAACAATACCCTAAACGCACTAACCCTTGTCGTTTCACCATGCTTCACTTCACACTACACTCACAAATTGAATTCAAGATCTGTTTTTTATATTACATTGATTCATATTAACACTGAAAATTTTATGCTTTTTGAATTTTCAGCAAGGGGTTAATGTGAATGTGAATGTGAAGAATTTGAATATGAATTTGAATATGAATGAGATTGAGAATGATGGTGTTGTTGGAAATTGGTATAGTTCAATTGTTCATCAAGTTTCAATCTATGGTGTTGCTGCTGGTTACTGTTTATCTGCATCTTTACTGTCAATTATCAACAAATGGGCTGTCATGAAATTCCCTTACCCGGGAGCTCTCACCGCTTTACAGTACTTCACGAGTGCGGCCGGGGTTTTTCTCTGTGGATGGTTGAAGCTTGTCGAGCACGATAAGCTTGATCTGATGACAATGTGGCGGTTTTTACCAGCTGCTGTGATTTTCTATCTGTCTCTTTTTACGAATAGTGAGTTGCTTTTGCATGCTAATGTGGATACTTTCATTGTGTTCCGATCGGCTGTTCCAATTTTCGTTGCGGTTGGGGAGTCGGTGTTTTTGCACCGTCCGTGGCCGTCTTTGAAGACATGGGCTTCGTTGGGTACGATTTTCGCGGGGAGTGTGCTATATGTTGCGACGGATTATCAGTTTACGTTCGCGGCTTATATGTGGGCGGTGGCGTATTTGGTTAGTATGACGATTGATTTTGTTTACATAAAGCATGTGGTTACGACGATTGAGTTGAACACGTGGGGTCTTGTGTTGTACAATAATATTGAGGCTCTTATGCTTTTTCCATTGGAGTTGTTGATAATGGGTGAGTTGAAGAAGATAAAGCATGAGATCAGTGATGAGTCTGATTGGCACTCGTTTTCTGTGGTTTTGCCTGTGGGGCTATCGTGCTTGTTCGGTCTTGCTATCTCTTTCTTTGGATTTTCGTGCCGCAGGGCTATTTCTGCAACTGGATTTACTGTTCTTGGTATAGTGAACAAGTTGTTGACAGTTATGATTAATTTGGTGATATGGGATAAGCACTCGACGTGGGTCGGTACAGTGGGTCTTTTGATCTGTATGCTAGGTGGGGTTCTGTATCAGCAATCAACAAGTAAACCGAGAGATGTAAAGCCGGTAACTGCACAAGAAAACGAGGAAGAACAACTAAAGTTGCTTGAAATGCAAGGCAAGTCTGATACCAATATTACTGATGTCGAAGATACTAAATCAAGGGAGGGAAACTGAAATTATATTCATGTAGCAAAGTTTCCATACTGCCTTTAAAGTGTACGTTGCACAGGTATCCGATTTAAATGATATTATCATTTTTCACACATGTCAATCCAATATTCGTTTACCAATGATATCTCAATGAATGTCAAACTCGTCAGATTCCAATCTGCAGCGTTTTGTTTACTTTACATTGGCTGTTATAGTGTTATGTTTTAAGTAAGAAACTAAATGGTAGATAAAACGATTCTAGTATTGTCTGGATTGCTTTACTTTATAGCGTTTTATTTGATAGACAAAATGACTATCAACTTGGTTCTCTTACTTTTGAGCTTTTTAACTGCCTCATTTTATTATTTCAATTTTCATTTTTTTTCTTTTCCTAGTGATACTGTCGAATGAACATTGTATTGTTATTATCTATCCAATCACATGTTTTTTTAGTCTGTTTTTTTTACTAGGGATCTGAAATGGTTACATGTCAGTATTTATATACCATCTCCTCAGTGTGGTGCATTGATGTGATTGAGATCTTAGAAGAATTTTGATTCTTGCCTGTGTTTAGTGACACCGTTGACCAGTTTTTAGGATAAGTGTCTGTTGGATGAATATGAATGCTTAATTTAATGCTCTATCTATCATATTGGTGTTAGGGTAGGAGTGCCACTAATTAGGGTTACGATTTTAATGATCAGAGTTCTATCCTAATGTTATCAATGGCCCACCATATAAACACACCATTGCGGCCTATGGTGCTGCCATGGTGAGCATTCCACCATCCCTTCACAAATTTTCTACGACAGTTGCCGAAAAACTCACCACACCATTTTGCCATGGCTGCTGCCATTAACATCATTGATTTTAGATCCTTAGAAATCCATGTTTTTCTTTCAGTATTAATTAAAAGTTTCAAAGTTTTGAGCTCTAAAGGTTTGACTAATTTTAGTAAAAAGATTTGATCTCTAAAGGTTTGACTAATTTTGATAAAACTGAATGTTGAACAAGATGTCTCATTATGGTCATCCGATATCTTGTCTGGTATAACTGGATGTTTGGATTCTGTGAGTGGGTTACAAATATGGATCATTCTGGGAATATTTGGTAATCATAGGCTGTGTTCAAGTTGAAGAACTCAGAAGTGTTGAACTAACATGTTTCATCATCAGAGAGACATGTTGAATGAAGATGTCCTATGAAGAGCCATTCGACATCGCGCCTGTGACCAGCTGGACAGTTGGATGGACAGTTGGATTTAATTGATATATTTCATGTGCACAATATTCTGGGAATATTGTGCTATCCTATGTGGCACACAGTTTGAAGATTGAAGAGATTCAAGCTGAATTTTAAGAGATTGTTTAGTTTCTAATTATGGAGATAATTTAGGAAACTAATGATTGAAGTCCTATGATGTAGGAGATATTTTTGCTGCCTTATTTGCAACAAGTCAGCAGTGATTTGAAGCCCAATCCAGTACGTTGAAGATTATAAAAGGAAGGCTTAGACCTAGGGCTTAAAAACTAATCCTTGTATAACATATTGTAATATCTAAAGATAAGGGTTTAGGATTTTGAGAGTCGTGTACTTTCTTGTGTTGTAAGTCACCCTTTGTATCGATCAGATGCATTGTGGTAGACATAGTTGTTTATGCAGATTCAGAAGCCTTTAGGTAATGAATTTTGTATTGTTCTTGGATGAAGCTTTGAAGCAAATCCAAACATGTTTGTTAGTCAAGAGTCTTGACTGAACTTTATGGTTGTTAGATATCACTGAGGTGATTTAAGAAGTGAGATAGCGATTTCTCATATTTAGGGAGAATCTAAGTAAAAGTGTCATTGGGTAGGGATTATGCGAGAAGTTGTAAATAGGGGAGTTTAGCTTTGAACTAATACTATTGATAGTGGACTTTCTTCTTGGCTTGGTAGCCCCTAGAGTAGGTGTTTGGTGTATACCGAACTGGGTCATCATATCTTTGTGTTTTTATCATTCTGTATTGTTCAGTTTTGTTTCTTGATTGATTGACATGTCTTATAAGATGTTGGAACATCTGTCACGACTCTGTTCTTATATGTTTATATCAGTATGTTTTATCTTGTTCAAGTGCTTTTTACGCAGAGATCAATGTCTTAGACATGTGTTAGGACATTTGTTATCTGTATACCAGAATTTCATTAATCAAATTAGCTGAGAGTAGTAGAGTGATCTTGGTTTCAGGTAAATGACATTCTTGATGGTTTTCCACTACATAGAGATCTATACATTCCTTTTCTGCATCATGTCTTGCCAGAAGGCCTTTGTACATATCGAGTAAACTCGTTGCATTCCCATTTTAAGGTGTTGCTCTAGGATTAGATTTATCAAAGGAAATTAGGGAATGATAAAGATTTGTCCTGCTATAACTCCAAAGATTTGATCTGGTGGTAACAAAAAAACATCGGATCTAAAAGTTCAGGGTTCTAGCCCTGCTAGTGCACTTGATGGGAGGTAAAATGTAAACACATTTGTGAGTGCTCTCTTTGAACCCTAAGATCTTCCTTGCTTTTGAGATATATATGCCCAATTTAGTAATCAATTCTAGATCAGTTTGTGAGGTAGTAATGTCAATGCAAAATCTTCAAATAGCCTTCTCGTGAAGCTATAAGTTCAAATGTTGCATCCTTGCTAAAGGACGGGGTTGAGAGTAAAAGGTTGTGAAAAGCTTTCTCTTACCAACATGCTTTATCTTTCTCCTTCAAAATTCTCAACTCTGGTGTCCTTTCAATTTTTTTTATCTGAAAGCATTTCCCAACATTTCAGAGACTATGTCAAAGTTTGTGCCTCATAGGCTACTACTATACGTATCAGTAGTTTCTCTGACCTAGTTATATACAATTAGCATTTGTTCTTGGTCTCTGAAATAGACTTTATCTTTAAGCTTTTACTTCAGATTTATTTAGCTAATATCTTTGATTTAAAACATTACTATTGAGCACTTAATAGAAAAAGTGAGATATGTTAAAATACTGCTATGGTAGGTCGGTCGCTTGGATTCTACGAATTTCACACTAGAAAATATTTTCTTGTGGTCATAAAGATATTATTGTGAAAGAATCTTGATGCAGTGATTGGATCTTTTGTCATGTGACTAAAGGTCACATGTTTAATTTGTGGAAATTATTAGAACCAAAGATCGCACATACTCTAGACCTTTAATATAGAACTTTTTTTTAGCAAGTCTGAATAAGAAGAGTATATTAGATAGAAGAATATATGTAAGTAAATCACGAATGTTTTAGAGTTTTTGGTAAAGATGTTGGGTTCAAATTCACTTGTGTGACAACTCTTTGTACAATGTATCGATCCACTTCAGAGTCTAGTTGGGTCAATAATGTAGAGAATCTCACACACTATTGTAGCGTATCAAACTAAAAAGTTTCACAGATGTTGATAATCATATAAATGAGAATATTCATATATTTTAATGTATTGATTTCCTTGTGTGATTGTTGTTAATTAATGTATAGATCTAACCGAATGATGCAGGTTCTTAGGAAAGTTTCAATATTGAGAAGCTAGTAACAAAACTTACACACTAAATATTGGGAAGTGAAAAATTACTGATCAAAATCTGCACTTCAGCATATATATATTACCACAGTACTTTTATCAATCGAGTTTTATTGTATTTATGTGACAAATTAAAATTCATGTAGATGTCTTTGTAAGAAAAGTTGTACAAATATTGTACCCACCCACCAACCAACTATGAAGAAAAGCATTGAATGGGAAAAAAATGATACTTGAACACCTAAAATGAGTCTATGAAAAGTGTTATTCGTTATTTTAAGGTGTATTTTTGAAATTCGAAAGTGTTTCAATTTTAAAAAATAAAAAATAAAATAAAGATAAAACAAACTGATATACAGTATCAAGATAATTAAAATTATTCAAATAACATATCTGAATAAAAACAAAATATTTAGTTTGACAACATATACACTCTTATTTAAGTGGATTGGTCAACACAAGACTCTTGTTACGAGCTGGCCAAAAGTCTAATAGAATCATTCAATTTTAAAGGTCCAACCCAAATCATTTTTGCTGAAGAGTGGCAAATAGGTGGAGTTTCAATGAAAAACCCTGCACCTCATTTGAGTCATTGGTATCATTTTTGCTGAAGAGTGGCAAATAGGTGGAGTTTCAATGAAAAACTTTGCACCTCATTTGAGCCATTGGTATCATTTTGCTAAAGAGTGACAAATAGGCGGAGTTTCAATGAAAAACCCTACACCTCATTTGAGCCATTAGTTCATAGATGCCGTCAGATTTGATCAGACGATCTTCCATAACTCACTCCAGATTAAGCAGGAGTGATTTTAACCAATCACCATACACAAACCTTTCACACGCCATAACATGTATTCATTCGCTCTACTTTTGCAAATTACATCTTTTTGATCTCACTGACTTGCAAGTCCATTCCCGTTTCACCGCACCAGAGACTCATACCATTACATCGAAGAAGCTTCAATATATTGTACCACCGATCTCTCATTCTGCCACAAAATAGTGGCGCTTATATATGGAAATCGACTTTTGATTCTCACAAATTTCCACGAATATATACCATATCCTAACTACAACCAATCCATCTTCTGTTCTAATCCCCGATTAACTCTATATCAATGATGGTAACATTTAAGTCAGCTCAAACAACCTCATCGCAATGCCAACGTCGTCGTTGAGGCAACAATACATGCTCTCACTCCTATAAGAGAAGTTCATCCACCTCTAACAAGAGAATTCGATCTAGTTCCCGTGACTTCTCTGATTCCCCCCCCCCCCTCAAACTCCATTCCTTCTCCTTATTAATGAGAGCACTTGTCAAAACTTCTCAATCTTTCAACCTTTCTAACAACTACTTCAAGATCAAACCTCCAAGCCCCCTCAATCGGAAGGGAAAATTCTTTAACCAAAAAAACTCAAATGTCTCCAACAACTCCAAGCCAATCTAGACATGCAAAGAGCTAACTAAC